TTAATAGAGATACAACACTGTCGTAAACTTTTTGTTACTGTACATAATAACAATAATATTCTTTTTTCAGAAGAATAAATACAATTTCAAAAATAACTCTCGGGTTATCGAGGCATTGTTAATTCTCTTTAAAATTTTAATATGCACACAGAAATATATAGATATATATATAATATAATACATATAACTCTAAATTCTTCTATAAACTTTAATTGCTCTTTTTTTCTTTCTTTCTTTTTTTTGTGTTTTTGTTTTTTTTTTTTTTTAATATCTATAGATATAATTAGTATCCTTCGAGACTTAAAATTAATATCCCATACGGTTGTCTATGATAATGTTGAGGACGGCAGTTTTGTCTGCAAGTATAAGTACAGAATATTGCGTTAATACTAAATGATAACATTAAAGCAGAAATATTTTAGTCGGTTAATTTTTGCGCCGTGTGTATACATAATTTATTTTTAACAATTTCTCTTGTTAATTTTTTCGAGTTAATTTCAAATCTTTCAAAAGATTTATAATTATAACATTCGACACGTTAAAATCCAAATAAAAATAGTAAAAATTGTACTCAAAGCATGGTGCAAAAAGGAAAGAAAAGGTTTCCATAGAAAATTAATTTTAGGAATACGATAAAGATCAAAATAATTTGACTAAAATAAAAAATATACATATATATAAATGCTATTCAATGCTTTAATATTTGATGATTGATTAAATGTATATATAAAATTACAAAAATATTTTAAGTTTTTTAAATAATTTTGTCAAAAATAATACATATATTGAAGAATATTTTTATTTGATTAAATTAATTTTTAAAAATATTAAAATAGGAAACTCATCTTTCTTTCTTACTTTTGAATCTAATTGATTATAAATATATGTTTATTATGTACATAATTGCAATCAATTAATATTGTTTTCAAATAGGAAACAATCGTAAAAAAATATTAATATCACTAATATAAAAACGATTTATTATTTGAGTTTAATTGAGTTCTTTTTTATCATATAAAAAAGAAAATTTTAATATACCTGTTAACCAACATTTATGAGAAATTACAGAAAAAATTAAAAATTTTATTTTTGTCTTAAAATAAAATAGTTATAAAATAATCCAAATTATAATGAAAAATATATATTTTTATAATTGCAGCACAAACATTTTTTGTATTTAAAATTACATAAATGCAGGAGATAAGACATCATTGTTAATTCACTTTAGAATCCTACAAATATATAAGAGAAAGATATTTAACATATATATGCATATATATTTTTTTATTTTTTTAAAATCATCAATATTCTCAGTTTGATATCGAATATAAAATAGGCAATTCTTCGGTATTCATAGAATGTTCTCTTCATAGATATTATGTATAACAACATAATACATCGAGTCGTATGAAATTCATTTCATATCCTCTATAATTGAATAACATATGTATATTATAATAAATATCGATTAACATACAAGATAATATTCGATGCATTTGCATCGTCTTCAGTACTTAATTAGAATAAATTAGATCTAATCAGAGATCAAATTCTTACAATATTTGAATAACATGAAATAATCTGTTAAAAAGCGGACTCTTTAAATTCGTGTTCTTACCGTCCACATGATTTTCAATTTATAATTTATTCAATCGTATCGACTTCTTCTACATCGGTATGACAATCGCTAATTCCGTCATCACTGATTTCTTTTACAGTTAACATGTTCTCCATTTTATTGATATTTTTCATAATAACTTGAGACGCAACAAGAACGTCTAAATCTTCGAATAATTCTTTTTGACTGCAACAAGCTTCTTGCTCCTCCTCGTCCTCGGATACAACCATGTCTTCTTCATCAGTATTCGACATAATCACAATGTCTGGCGTGGCGCTACAAATCTCATTCTGTGGACTATCTTCATATATTTTATTTCGCACTTCCACGGAGAATGGTCCTTCACCTTCCTTAGTCGTGATCGTTTCCCCGCTATAATCGCTAAATATATCAGACCTTGGTTTCACATAGATAGGTGATTGCATTTCGTCTTCGCCTTCGAGGTCCTCAAGATCAGTTTCTGTTTGGAAAGGAGTATTGACAATCTTAAGATTATCTTGATTCTCATTCTCTTCGTTCTCTAGCTCGCTTGGATAAATTTCGTCCACGTCTGTCATATTCTCAACGAAACTATTACGCTTAACGAAATCTTTATCATCCAGTGATAAATAATTCGAGCTTTCACTTTCTATGACATCGAATGTCACGGAAATAATCGGGTTTTGTTCCATGTTATTCAAAGGTTTGATTTGCGAATTAATCGTAGTTAACTCTCCCTCTGAATCGGTGTCAGAGAAATGTAACGACGAGTTATTAATCATAGCGTTCAATCTTCTACGCGTCGATCTTATTTTACGCTTTGCTTTCGTCCCAGTCTCTTTCGATTTGGACGAGTTTAAATTTTCGTCAATGATCTGCGGATCTGCAACATTTTTCTCATTTTGATCAACCTCTGGTTGCTCCTTAATTCGATTCGAAGACTCTGTATCGATCACGCTCTTTTCTACGGATAGTCCATTCTCGTTCCGTGATTCCAATGTACAATTATCTTCCATTTCCACTCTCTCTTCTTGTTTCTCACTCGAATCTTCCATGTGTACGTAAATGTCTCTTGGAAATAGGTTTCTTTCTTGGGTTTTTTTTTTTTTTTAAGATTTAGCGCGCAGATCTTAAGTGCAAATTACTAAAGAACTTAAAAAAACCTGAAACTGAAAATAATAAGAAAGAAATGGAAATTAATGTATAAAACGAACAAAAATGTAATAACAATGTTATAACTGGTGTGTTATGGACAAACAAAGCAAACGTAAAAAGTGTAACCAATATCTCAACTCGATTTAAATAAAATAAACTCACGTTATAAGAAAATTGTGGTAGAATGATACTCGAAAGAAGAAGATAGGTTTTAAAAGTAGTGGTAGTTCCAATGGTTCAGAACAAACTAAATGAATTCGTCATAGCTATCGAACGTTTGTTGATACTGTTATACGTAATTAAATTACAGAAGCCTCACTCGACTTTCGAGGCATAAGTAGATTAACATGCCCTCTTAAACGAAAATAGAATTACAGTAGAAATTTTTCTACTGCACGAAATGAAATTGTTTTCAAAACAATGTTTTCTTTAATATTTTAATACCAAATTTTACCTAAAGTTTATAAATATCGATTATCACTATTAATTAGTTTTATAATGAAGTCATTTGTTTAATAAGAATACATGTATATATATATATATATATCTAAATTTCATAATCGTTAAAGCAATTCATGTATTATAATAAATAATTTCTTATTATAATGGAACATATAAAATTTCCTTTTTTGCACCTTGCATTTGAATTTGAATTCAATTAGATTGATTAATGTTTCCTTTAAATAAATTTCACTGCGATTTGTGTAATTTTTACATAAATTTTCTTCATTGCTCTAACGTTATCATTAATCTAATATGAAGTGAAGAAACATGGATATATCATACCTGTTCGTTCCTTTTGCAAGGTGTCGGTAATAAATTTCTTTTCGGAAGGCGAAATATCCTTAGGTTCGTCGCCTTTCTCTTTTTGCTCCATCTTGTATTTCGATTCATAAGAATCCAATTTTTGACTAATAATATTCGAATCTTCATAATCTGCAACGAAAGGAAGAACAAAACGTTATATTTTGTAATTAAACATTAATTTTCCCAGCTCTGTATATATATATAATATTGATATATTACAGAAAAAAATTTACCTTTCAATTTCTTTTGTACTTCAACTTTAGTTATAATTTCTGGAAGAACAATATTCAACACGCAAATTGGTTGTTGAGGGGGTTCTCCTTTCGCTACTTTCGGTTCTCGCATAAACAGCATCCTAGCAACCGGATCCAACAACGGATCTTTCACTTTTACGTGAAAAGATAAACGATTTTGACGAAAAGCTTTAAAGGTAAATTTCAATTGTACTCCCGATTTCGTCACAGGTACTAAATTTCCACTGAATTCAATATAAAGATCTTTCCCATCGAGTGCCTGTAACGAAAGTTAATCATAAAAATATCTGGATGGAATTAAAATAAAATTAAAATTATATAATGAACAATATTTACTTCGACATCGCGGCTTTTTACAATTTCGACAAATTCCTCTTGCCTTTCCAAAGTGTGCATTCCTTCTTTTCCATCGGTCATGCATAACACTCTTAATGTTGCTTCAAGCACATCCATTCGTTTCGAATATATTATAAAACTGAATCAAAAAAAAAAAAAAAAAAAATTAATATTTTATGAATAAGAAAGGATTATATATAATTTAATTGAATATTGATATGCATACTTTGTAATATATGGCACAAATAACGATTCTTCATATAATTCGGTTGCCATTTTTGGAACTGCGCCTATATTTCGGCAATCCATTAACCAGAATCGAGCGGATACAGTTGTGGTAAAGGACACTGTATCGTTCATAAAAGTTAATGGTGTCGACCCAGTAACATCTTCCCATTGTGATTCACTGGTTCCACCTAAATTTAAAATGAAAAGTAATAAAAAGAATTATATGAGATATTTTTTATTTATTATTATATAGAATATATAATTAATATAATATAATTAATTTACCTGCAATACTACATAAAAGTCGTAATGTTGGTGTTTCACCACCATATTGATTAATCATCCCTTTATTCGCTGCTTGTGGTACAGGTATGGTAAGGGTGATTGGTTTATGAAACTTTCGTCTTCTCGGCTCGATCGTTATTACAGGTGAAACAGCTACGCAATTTCCTAGTAACTTTGCTGTAAGCTCTGCCGGAATGACGTGAGCCTATAAAAGTTAGAAATAGGAACGGCTATCGATTATATTCATCCAACATAAAAATTTCCTGTTGCGAAATATTGCAATTTAAATTACTTGTAATCCAACTTTAATCTTCTTTGTTAATGCTCCTGGTGGAAAGACTGCTTGGACGTCGTTAGCCACACTTGATGTTAAAATTCCACCTTCGGCACCAATCACGTGAACCTCCTGTTTTATTCTCGTGATAATAGCAAAGTATTGAGGAAAATCGGTTGTTATTATACGGGTAATTCTGCCAGAATGAGTAGCGCTCATTTGAGGATCTATAATAAATAGATATAAATAGATACGTTAAATTATATATGTGTAAACATGTTGATAAAACTATTTTTAAATTTTTAAAAATACCATATGGAGTATTTAATAGAGTGGTATCATTATCAGCAGAATTATCGTGTTCTTTCCACGTTTCACCATTATCACTTCTAAGAATAATGATTTCTCTCTCCTTGCCTCGAATAGACGCGAAATGTGGTATATCGATTAAAACTGGGCTAAAATGAAATATATATAAATATATATTGTTTGCAGAATAATAAAAATAATCAAATGTAAAAAATCAAAAATGATTTGCAGAATGATATTTACCCTAGAAACGTAGCACCAATTGGTCCCATTTCTATGATACGAGTTGCTAAAGCCTCTCCCTCCATTAAAGGAGGAGGATTTGCAACTTTATTAGGTTTTATCAATCTACACGTAACACGAATCGGCATTGTTGCTCTACGTGGTGGCACAATGATACGTACACCGCTGTGTCTGCATCCTTTCATAGCACCTCCACGTGCGTCCACCAAGAAACTTACTAAAAATCTAAAAATTAAAATTATCTTTTTACACAAATCTTACGGAGTAAATATAATTGTTACCATATGAAATTGCTCATTTTGAAATGACAATCATAATTTCAGTGAATTTAATATTATAAGAATTTAAACTAGTTTATAATACAGTTGGAACACAATGAAATATTAATTTAATTTTTAAAAGTTATGTTAACAAGAGAGTGATGATTTAAAAAATTTTAAAGCGATAATAAAAATTTGCTAAAACTTCGAAAATTGCAATTTTATATAGTAGAATTTAATTAAAATCATGTATGCTCACAATTTATTTCGATTATGTGGTATCAAATAAAATTAAAATTGGATATTTAATCAAAGTTAATATATCAATCGTATCTTATCTATCATAGGAATAAAAATTACTTACGATCTGAAATGAAGTCGGCTAAAAATGAAAATATTTAATTTCAATTAATGATAATTTCCATATAAAATTTTATGCTACAAATACTTTACATATTATTAAATAATATTTTTTTTTAAAGATATAATTTATTTTAAAATTGATTTATTATAAAAATATAATTTATTTACCATATAATGTATATAAATTTAATATTAATATTTACATACCCCAAATTAAATCCATCAGTATCAAAGTTTTCTGCTAGACAATAATTATTGCTTTGAGTGAAATCCTGTTTTTCTTCTTTTGTAACTGGTCGAGAACAGTGCCACACATTACGTAAAACGTTATCGTAACATTTCTAAAGTAAGGAATAAATATTTTACCTTGTCTATGTATTGGATCATCCCGTGTAACATCAATAGGCAATGAATCATCTCTTAAACTTTTCATCAAATCTGCTGTAAGGTATCGATACGGCTGCTCGCTGATCAATGCATCTGAACCTGTACACGAATATCGCGGTTCAGTTTTGTTTCATGTACATTTTTTTTTATTTAACAGTGAATGTTTATATACGTGTTTGTGAAACATCATATTCTATTCATATTCATAAAATTATTTACATAATTCTTGACTTTCTTATAAACTTAATTAATCATAATAATCATGTTCATTGTCTGATTACGTAAAAAAATCGTACCTCCTTCATCGTCAGAATCAGACATAAAACTAGTTTCTTGCAAACTTTCAGGTGCGATAACTTTGTACTTCTCGTCCCAATTTTTATTATCAGGCGCCAAGGTATCATAAGACAATCCCTTCAATACCTCCATTACAGATATATATCCTAATTTTTGAGCTATATTTAATGCAGTCAGTCCATCCTGAAAGAAATAGGTCATATAAATCGATATTTTATATTATAAAAGAAATATCACAATTGTATATCATACAATTTTTCAAAGAGAAAGATTTCTATGCATAATCTATAATAAATAGAAAAAAATAATAGTAATTACATTCGTTCGAGCTTTATGCGAAGCATTTCCTTCTAATAATGCACTAACAATATGTGCATGGCCTTGTTGAGCAGCTTGATGTAACGGAGTGTAATTTTGATTAGTTTTTACGTCGATAGTTGCATTGTGTTTTAAAAGAAATCGAATCATCGAAAGATTCCCGAAATGTGCCGCGACATGTATTGGTCGATAACCAGTTTCGGTTTCGCTTTCAACGTTTGCACCATTTTTCACAAGTATAGAAGCCACTTTGATAAAATCTTCTTGAGCACACAAGTGCAGTGCGGTGAGACCATTCTAGACAAAAAAATCGTTTAATAAATATTAATTTCTCAAGAGATTATTTTTTTTAATTAAAAAATATAATTATAATGACTTTACGTACCTTTGATTTATGATTTGGATCAGCTCCATGCTCGATTAACAGATTCGTCATATCATAATGTCCTTTTTGTGCGCTTAAATGCAATGGTGTAAATCCTGCTTTGGATTCAGCATTCGCGTTTGCTCCATTCTCTAAGAGAGTAGAAGCAATATCCATCTAAAAAATTTTCAATTAAATTTTCAATTACTCAATTACAAGATTGATTATTAAAGATTAAATTCGTTACTTTTGTGAATTCTTGAATTCTTAAATTTTTTATATTAATTTATATTTCTTACAAGAATAATGGTAAATCATACGTTCAAATAAAACAATTTAGCTTTTGTTATTATTTATTCGGATATAATATGATATTACCTGATTTTTACGTGCAGCAATATGTAGAGGAGTATGTCCATTTTGAGAAGCTAAATGAGGGGATGCTCCTTTTTCTAACAAAAGATTTGCAACATTTGGATGATCATAATGGCAAGCCAAATGTAAAGGAGAAATATCATTCTGAAATTTTACATTTTTAATACATTAATAAACATGAAAAAAAAAATAATAAATGAAGTGTTATTAAAATTAAATTAATTGAATTAAATTGTAAATGATTCTGATATAAGTATAATATAAAATAATATCAAAAAATTTGAAAAATATATAATTGATACATACCTTTCCTTGTGCATCAAGTTTACTATCTCTTTGCAAAAGTATATTTGCAACGCTCATATTGCCATATTTAGCTGCGATATGTAAAGGAGTAAAACCATTTTTAGTTGTAGCCTTAAGAGAAGCATTGTTTTCCACAAGAATAGTTGCCACCTGTATATGAAAATATGAACTCAAGTGAAACTATAATTAATTTCTTTAAGCTAATAAAAAAAATATATATGATGCATAATATAAAAAAATTTTAAATGATTAAAAAAAAATTTAAAACATATAAAACGATTAATTTAATTTTTCTTATCTTTACTTTTAAATTTCGCGCGATTCTAGATCATTCGGACATATATAGAATGAAGTATTTAAGTGGAATCATCTGGATTCGTAATACAAATTGATTTACAAAAATTGATTGTATTGTTTCAAAGGAATAGTATATCACATAATTTTGTATTTTAAATTATATTTAAAAAAAAAGAAAAATTATAAAAAAAAATTATAAAAAATTAAAATTATATTTAAAAAATATGAACATGTTCATAAACAATATAGAAATATTATTCGTAATATAATGCCAAAAATATATTTTGTTTTTTTTTAAATAAAATTTTATTATTAAAATTATTATAATATTAAAAAAAAATTAAAAATTAAAAAATTATTAAAATTCCTAATTTGATCGAATTCTAAGTATATAAAATAATTAATAAATACTATTATATATTATTATTACAAATCTATTCAATATTTTAAAATAGATAAAAGGTTTTTTAATATCTTACCTTAAATTAAAATTTACAGTTACTTCTAAATGGCATATATAATAAATGCGAAATGAAAATAAAGAAATGAGGTTATTAATTTCTAAGATGTTAATAATGATATAATATAAGAGATAGCTAGAAAAAGGCAACAAAAAAATAATTAATATGGTGAAAAATTTTATTAAAATTCATTACAGATAAATAACATAACATAAAATATAACAAATATAAACGAAACTTAATTAACAGAATATGAAATAAAATATAAATAATAAGGAAGGAAATATGTAACAACAGAAAATAAGAAATTTTCTAATAATTACAGAAACTATATAAGGTATTCACGATATCTTGTCCAAAATAAATATAATCTACTTTGCGTGCTGATGTAATCCGCTATCTTTGAAATTTCTTTGTACATTACCTCCTCCTGCCCTTCTTTTGCTGCAATATGTAATGCTGTGTACATATCTTTTGTGGTAGTATCAACTGCTGCACCATGTTGCAGAAGTAACATAACAATATCAATATTTCCTAATCGTGATGCAATATGAAGGGGTGTTTGTTGTTCCTAAAATGAATCAAGACAATTGCCATTTATATGTATAAATATAAATATATTAATAATAATATGTACTATTAATAATTATTATAATAAATTAACAATAAAATGTGCATCTATTACAAAAATAATAATAATATCAACATAAAAAACGAAATGAGACTGGTTAATGGAGTGTGTGAAATACGTAATAACAATGAGTACACAATGATCATTTATATGTATCATTTTATGTATGATTTTCGTTAAATTATATTAACGAAATCTGATCGTACCAGAAATAATTGTTTTTAAACAATTTTATATTACTTACCCTTGCGCGAGCATCAACTTTGGCTCCGTTTCGTAATAAAATTCGAATAATGTCTGTTTGATTAGCTCTAGCTGCCAGATGTAGAGGTGTTTCACCCCTAACAGTTGGCACGTCAGGATTGGCTTCGTGTTGCAGTAGAAATATCACGATATTCATACATCCCATAAAACTGGCCACATGTAATGGAGTCAGTCCAGACTGTAAAATATATGTATCTTCTATTAACATTTTAGTACTATGACTCCACAGTTTTCGAACGAATATACTTTCTTCTTCGATATATTTATATGGAATACATAGAAATGATCATCTATATTGATCATAACAGAATCTATATAAAATAACCGTTAACCAGTCTTATAATAAACTACCAAACAATCTGTTACATTTTTTAAAGTATATCTTTTTATTATTTTTCTTTTTTTCAATTATGAATATTTATAAATACTATGTAAAAAATAAAAGATATTTTTTATTTGATTCTTGAATTAAATATTAACAAAAAAAAATCATTAGTTTTAAATATTCTTTTATTATTAGTGATTAATCAATTTCGCAGATATTAGTTTATTTTGAATAAATAAAAATTTTATTCATGATTTTTTCATGATTAAGTGAAAGTAATTAAAAAAGTTAGTTGTTTATAACGTGATCGAAGAATGAGTATTTTAAACTTTAAATTAATGATATATATATATATTAATAATTTGAAACAAGAATAAAAATTAGAATAAAAAGAAAAAGAAGAAACTTGTACTTTCTGAGAGAATAAGTATTACTTAAACAATAAAAAAGTTGTTAACATACCTCGGTAGTAGACTCGATCGATGCTCCATGTTTTACTAAGAGTTCAACAACTTTTATTCGATTCTTCTTACAAGCAATATGTAGTGGTGTGAAGCCATTTAAAGCTCGTGCATTCGGATCAGCTTTCCGGTCCAGAAGTAATTTCGCAACTCTAACATGTCCACAATGTGCGGCAACATGAAGAGACGTTAAATAATCGATCGTAACTTCATCTACTGGCGCTCGATGATATAATAATACTCTTGCTGCATCTACATGATCTCCTTGTGATGCCATGTGCAATGGTGCAAGTCCATTCTAAAAAATATAATTTTCATTAATAAAATCGACATATTATTTATTGTATTATATATTGTATTTCTTATACACATCATTAACATTGGTAATATAACAACTTTAGGAATTTAATTAATAATAATTAAATTTTTGTACATACTTTCGTTCGTGCACTAATAGGTGCAGAGTGTTCAAGAAGCGTGGTAATAACTTGTTCATGACCAGATCTTGCTGCACAATGAAGCGGTGTTAAACCATCCCTGGTTTTAGCATCGATTTGCGCAGAATTTTCTAATAATACTTTAACCATATTGTTTTTACCCCATTTCGCTGCTACATGTAAAGGGCTTATATTATGCTGATAAAAGAAATCAAGAATATTAATATCAAATACAAATTTATTAATTTTTATTGATATTAATTTATTCGTACCTTTGCTAAATAATTCACATCAGCTCCACGTTTTATTAATAAACGTGCTATTTCTTCGTTTCCATAATGGGCAGCGATATGTAGAGGTGTAAAGCCACTTTTCGACGTAACATCAGGTTTATGATCATTCTAAAAAGAATAGAAATAAAATATAAATGTAAAATTATGAATGTTCATTTTAAATTTTAAATTTTAAATTACCTGCAATAATAGATCAGCAGCTTTACAATCATCTTTTTTAGCCGCAATATGAAGTGCTGGTAATCTAACTTTTCCTTTAGAATCATTTTCTAAAAGAACGCTGACAACTTTATCATGTCCTTGTTGCATTGCAACAGCGAGAGGTGTAAATCCATCCTAAAATCATTCTTTATTGTCTAAATTGTATAAATTACATGAAAAACGTGATATAGTTATTATCAGTTATTTAAATGATAAATACGTACATATATTCGTTACATAATACAATCAATTGTATACATATATTCACCTCTGTAGCAAGACTTTGATTGGCGCCGTTACTGAGCAACAATTTAACAACTTGATCATGATTTTCTTGCGCAGCCATGTATAAAGGTGTAAAACCATTTTGAGATTGAATATTAACTGCAGCACCATACTGAATAAGAATATTTACTATTTCCGCTTGGCCAGCTGAAAATATATTATAAATCTCGTTCAATAATATTTATTTATGATTATATTTAATATAATATTATATATAAAATTAATTTAATATAATTTTAAAAATGTATTATTAAATATGTTAGTTTCTTTATTGTAATCTATTTTATATTATATAATAATTAAAGATTAAATTTACCCAACGAAGCTATATGCAGCGCAGTATTTCCTTTCTTTGTAGCTGCATCCACTGTAGCACCTCTTTTTAATAATTCCGTTACTATTTCAACATGACCATCTTTCGATGCTAAGTGTAAAGCATTTAAACCATTCTGAAATATGAATTATAAAAATATAAAATATTTTGATTTGAATAAAACAAATAACATTTAATAAATACGAAAATAACAGATAATTGTAAGAATTTATAAATCTTACCGAATTAGCTGTATTAATATCTAAATCGGTATCGAGAAATTCAATCACTTTTTCAAGGTTCCCAGACCGCGCAGCACGAAGAAATGCTGTCGTATCGTCAGCCTAAATATGAAACAATATATCAATATTAAATATATAAATAATAATAATAATATTCATTTTCTAATTTTAATTTTCAATATTAATAATTATTGAAAATTATTATAAAATAGTTCAAATGTTCTGAAAATATTTTTCCTAAATTCATTAAATAAAATAAATAAATTTTAAATTTAAAAATTAAATTTTAAAAAAAATTAAAATAAAATAAAAAGAAAAGAATTATTAAATATATTTGAAATTGAATAAAATGTATTAATGATTAGTTATTAATTAACAATGTAACAAAATTAATGCTTACAATACAATTATCTTAAATATTTTCATTATAAAATATTTTTAATTATATTTCCTTTTGATATATTTAATAATATTATTTAAAAAACAACAAATCGAAAAATAAAATAAATAGAAATTTAAGAAAATCTTTCTATTTTATAAATCATTAATAAATAAACATGTGATACAATATATTGCATATAAATCAATTATATGAATTATAATGTATTATATAAGTAAGAAATAATTAATAATATAATATTGTTTTTATTCAATGCAGTGTAAAGTGCAGTATAAAATGCAGTAAAAATGTTTTTTATTTTAAAAAAAAATGACTTAAAAATTTAATAAATTGATATTGTTATGAAATATTTATGTTTTTCTTCATATTCAAAAATTTATAAACCATTGTTTTTAATTTGACTATTGTATTCAAGTATTCAAGTCCGAATTATGTTATGTGCTAGTAATACATATAATTTGACCATGACCTTTATCCTATCAACAATTTTGATTTGTATTTTATTTGTATTTTTATTTGATTAATGAATTTTGTCCCCATTAAATTATTTATAATTATTTATATTATTCGAATTATTTCTCGATTAATATCTGGAAAACGGTAACCATACGATAAAAACCGGCTTATAAAACATCTATGTACCTATATCGTGTCTATACCTTGCTTACAATCATCCCCTCCCACTATTTCTTTTTATTTTATCTATGGTTATCAAGCTGAATTCTAAAGTTTTTTTTATTTTCTCATATTTAGTATTGTAATCAAAGAAATTCATTAAAAAAATGTATCATTTAAAAATTCAATATAATGCACTTTTTATTAACGAAAAAAATAAAATTATTTTAATGTATCATTCCAAAGTTCACACCCTTCGATCAGTTGAAGAAAGAAAAAATACCGGCGACATTCCGGCACCTCTTACGCAAAATGAATATAGAATCATACCTGACTGGTACTATCTGTAACCATTGTGCTTTATAAGAGACTCTAGGCACTATGATTCTTTCACTTGTCCAGCACCTGCTGGACACGAAGGTTCTTTTTCTCGGTACGCGTTAAATCACCATTCATGCACTCCTGGGGTAACGCTAAAGGTGAATAGGAATATAGGAGCCGCCCCGTATACCAAACTAAGGCGCAGAATCGAGCGGCAACGATTGAAAAACAGGGGTTGCATCGTTGCCTTTCTCACCCCCTATAATATCTGTCCTTGTTTTTCTCCCACCAACTCATGCGATATATCGAATCTCATCATCACTATGCGCATGCGCCTATCAAACTTAATAATATATATATGTATATATATATATATATATATATATATATCTATATGTATATATATATATATATATGCATTTTCCCCTTCCTCTTCTAGATATTTCTCTTCACTTTCTAATATAGCAACCTAGGAAAATTAGCTAGGTTTCACAACGTGCAAATTATCGGCCGAGTAAATATTACCATAAATGTGTTTCGTGATACAATTTTATCTTATTGTTCTTGTCTTATTGAACAATAAATTAAATAAAATATAACAAAATTTTTTAATATTTTTATATTATTATTTATATTATTTTCAAGTAAGTATAATTATATTAATACTAAATACTTTGATATAATAAGAAATTAAAAATTTATTATATTTAAATTAATTCTAAAAAAAGAGGTTAAAATAAAAACACAATATTTTACACTGTATATATTAATATACTTATGAAAAAACAATAATATGTTAAAAAAATGATACGCATGTGCAATATTTAAACAGATTTAAAAATGATTATCAAATAAAAAGTTTTTTCTTTAAATAATCTATTACTTTACTATTATGTTCATGAAAGTAATAATAATTTTTATTTTCTTATGATCTTTTTATATCATAAAAAAACATCTATAAAAATATTATAGATATAACAAAAAATTAATTATGACGGGTTAAAGAGAATTATAAAATGCAGTGAATAAGTAATCATTTATTAGTACTATTACATTTTATAAAATAATATTACGTTTTAAAAAAAACAGAATAATATATGTATATTATATAAACATTTTTCAAAAAAAGTTTTGCAAAAGTGAATGTTTTGATTGTTATAAAATAAAAAATATATAAAAAATTATTTATTTTAATAAAGAATTGAAAATTATGTTTAATATATTCTCCAATATTATGTTTTTAAGATTCAGATTATTCCATTGTTTCCAAACAAAAATATATAAATTAAATCATTAAATATTGCGTTATTATTTAATTTTCAAAAATAATATAAAAATTAAAATATTTAGCTATGTACATATATATAAATTTATAAATTTTTTAATTCATTGTGATTTCATTTCATGAACTAACAATATCTTAATAATATAAATTTTCTAAAAATAATTTCTAATTCCTTAAACACTGGATTTTCGCCAATATTACAACATAAATATATTAAAAAGAATGATATGTATCGATATAATCGATATCTTTTTAATATCGATACTAAAACAAATTCCTATTAAGAAATAATATGGTATAATTATCGTTTATCGAAAATTATTATAATATTTATTTTTAAAAACCGGAAATATTTAATTCGATGTATACTGAAAAGAGGAAATTTTAAAAATGCGTCATATATATTGCAATATATAAGTGTGCACAAATATGATGCACATTCTTTGAAAAATGTTACTTTCACACATTTTTACCTGGAACCTAATGATCGGTGGAAATGCCTCCTCTGTCATCATTCCCAAATAATAAACTGTGTATTTCGTTTGACAAGTTTTACGTATACGTATATTTCTTATGCTCCATACTGAAAACGTAGGTCAGAGGATATTTATAACATTCTCATGAACGCCTTTGTGGTGCATCTGCTTCAATGATTTGTATATATATATTTTATTTAAACCAATGAAATATATTTAGCACTAATCATTAATTTAACATAGTATTGTAATTTTTTAATTATTACCAAGCAATTGAATCAAGAGCTTTATTTACTTTTTCATTGATATTAAAAAAATTATATTTTTGTATTTCTTTTTAATTTGATTGAATAGAAATTAAATTAATATACATAAAACAATTATAAAATAATTATAAAATAAATTAAATTTCATTACATATATTTATACATTTTATATATATATATATATATATATATATATATC